TATAGAATTAAACCGGTGGTCGTCAATTTTTATTGTTTGGATGGTGTTTCCTATTAGTTTAGTTCAGTTCTGGCCGTAGATCCACTTGTCAGCATTGTTGGTGTAAGAAACGAGTTCTTCGGGCTTAAACCACATACTGATCTCGTCCTTAGCTGACTCTGGTCCATCACTTCCATGGATAATGTTCCTGCCATTTCCCATAAACAACAAACCAAATTTATAATCACTAATCTAAGGAAAAAAACATACCAAACATATATACTACAATGCAAGAAACTATAATGTACCTTCCAACAACAACTGCGAGATCGCCTCGGATAGTTCCAGGTTCTGATTTCTGAGGATCTGTGGCTCCAATCAGTTTACGTCCGTATCTAATCACTCCTTCACCTTCCCAGACCTTAACCAATATCAATGATTTTCGGATGAGAAACTAAACCAAAGTCGGTTAATGATTTCAAAGTTGAGTGAGATTTTGCTCTTTACCATGGCAACAACAGGGCCTGAGCTAAGGAAGTTACACAAGCCGTTGAAGAAAGGTTTCTCCTTTAGATCATGGTAATGTTTCTGCGTGAAACCCTTTGAAGGAACCATGATTTTGATACCAACAAGCTTGAATCCTTTACGTTCGAACCGAGAAATGATTTCTGATATCTGGTTGTTATATCCAGAAGGTTTAAGAATTTTGCGCAATAAAGAACAAGAAGCAATGAACTTATTAGGCCTATCTATTACCAGTCCACGCTGCACTCCATCAGGTTTGATAGCGATGAAAGTGCGTTCCATCTGATCAAAACAGAAAAAGCCAATGAGAAAGAGATATATATATACATCGATACGTGTTTGGTTTGGCGATATACATTTACCTCAGTAGCAAGTACTTCTTGATCTTGGAGCATGAAGGCTATAACATAAACAAAACAAAAAAATGTCATCAGCTATAAGTCTTTCATGTTGTAAGCGTACATCGCATTTTGAGTCACAAAATTGAAATGCATAATTGACATTAACTAAAAGATAAATCATAGTGAACATAATGTATGTAACTACCTGCGGTAGGAAGAGCGAGGAGTCCGGTAATCCAACTCTTGGAGGCGAAACCCGAGCCGATGCATACTGAGGGACTTTTCCAGATGCATAAACCACTGTTGCTACACCAATGGCTCGACCTTGTGAAAACAGAAACAAAAAAATCAATTTATCGTCCAAAATGCTCATGAAATATGATTTAGCTATATGGAAACAAGAAAAAACAAGAACAAGAGATCTAAGCCTAGAAGCAGCAGATGATCTGCAGATTTGACGTACCGGAGAAGAAACGAGGATTCTTAGGTGAAGAATGAAGAGACCTCACTGCTCTAGAAGCAGATCTACAGATTTGAGAGCTCATTCTTTCTCTTCTATACGAAAGAGTGACGTGAAAGAAAGAAAACAGGGAAATGTAAATCTGTTGGAGAATTTAATGGGCAAAGATTTATTGTCTTTTTAAGATCTTCTTTATCCAACAAGATTTGTTTCCTATTCAAGAAACGAATATATCCCAAACAAATTGCAAAACTCCATATATTCCGAAATCAAAAATGTAACCACGTAGAAAAGTAAAGAATGGAAAAGCATCAGTAAAAAAAGTGAAATTACATAGTAGTATCTCCTTTCTAAAAACTTCTAACATGTTTATTATAGAAGATCAAATTACCCTTTTTTTTTTTAACAACAAGATCAAGTTACGTTACTCTTCAACCTTTTTTTTTTTAATGAATGTAAAATATTATCTAATCCAAAACGTTTTTACAACGAATGTTACGCTAAAGTTATCCTTTTTAGCTTTATATATGAAGATAAAACATAATGAGAAAGACTTCTTTCACAGATATAACTGACGATCGAACGCATGAATAGTTCTTAGTTATAATGAAATTATGAAACTAAATATTGTGGAAAAATAATTAAGCAACGTGAATGCCGTGACATAACCATTTCTCTACACAAAGTTAGAAATCTCAAGACGGCACGATGTTGTTGTCCAAAACCGTAAGACTGGACGCTTTTTCTTTCCTTTCTATTCCCTTTTCCATTTGGACAAAGACAAGTTTAAGTTATATTCCCTTCTTCTGCCAAAATCAATTCACCAGCTAACTCATAACAAGCAAACATAAAATGTTGTAATCACTAGTTCTATATACAATGTAAACTATACAGATTCAAAGTGAACAATCTTCAATTTACTCTCGCTCTTCGCTTGATCCATTTGGTAACATTTCTTCTGGTTCAGACTTTGAATCAAGTCGCAATACTGACAACCACGAATCCACCTGAAATCATTGCAAAAACACGAAATGTCATCTCGTTTCAAATGTTGCAGGATCTCTCAACAACGAAAATGTGTGTTAAGTTAACTTATGTGTATCTAATTTGGTTTACCTGTGTTTTAGAACTGCTTGAGCATTCGAATCTTAGACCTTGACGGGTTAAGATGTAAAAGCAATGATGGGTTTCATCGAATTCTCTCGTATAGCTTGGTAACGAACCAACTTCAACAATATCTGCTAGCAATGTCGAATCTTGAGGGCTCAAGTCTGCAACAGAGAGTTTCAAGAGACATTACAGAAGGAATATACCCCTTCTTTAAAGACACCGTAAAAGTGAAACTTTAACTTACCTGTTGATAATAAATAGAAGAAAAGACAAGGGCCTTGAAGGACAACAAACCGAGGAAGCCAGTCATCTACTTCTGCATCGTCTATTGGAGGTGGTTCACCCGGGAGAGCTGCCCAACGCTGAAGTCAAACCGAAAAATTGGAAAAATTTGTAAATAGAATAGACATCAACCGAGTCTTGTGGATCAATAATGATAATTGATTTGGAGTAAGACCCTACACTTCGGATAAACAAATAGCCAGACAAACGGGCAGAGCGCAAGACTTCATCCACATGTTCCAACCTACGAGAAAAGAGTAGACAAAGAGAAAATGAGATCTGCGGTTTTAATCCTAGTATCGAATACAATTTGAGTATATGACATACTGGGCTTTGAGGTAAGATTCTCTCTCTTCCAACTCAGAAAGTTCTGATCTAAGTGATTCTAACTCCGCTGCTGATAGCTCTACCTGCCAATAAGAGAGTGTTGGGTCCAGATCATGAGAAAACCTCTCGAACTCTGATACAGTGATACGGTTAATCAAAAACAAAAGTATGAGAATGGAACCTTCTCTTGACCATCTGAGATCCAAGGTAGACGTCGAAGAGTGAACAGATTTAACATAAGTGCTGCTCTTTTCAGCTTTCTGCGAATCCGTGACTGGCTATGAGTCCTGTTCTAAACAAAATCCATTGATGTCAGCCCAGAGTTTCCCCCTCTCTAACATATTTATTTGCTAATAACAAGTTACCTCAAAGAAATATCGTCTCGTGGCTGCGAAGATGATGGAGAATCGTCTTGAGCAGATTCCGTTGAGGGACTAGGTGCACTAAAGTGATCAGGTAATATCTTTAACTTCCTAGGAGTTCCATCATCCATGAATAAGGTTATAGCCAGAGATCCTTCATTCAAATGAAACTATTTTGTTACTAAATCAGCAGCTCGTACTACTTTAGATACCGATAAATGCGCATATGCGTGATTGTAATGCTCTGAATTCGCTATAATTTCAAGAACTAAATCACACAATTTTGTCCACAATTACACATAATAAACTTGAGATGTCAAAACCTACAGAGAATCATTGATTAACACTTATTAATTTCCCTAAATGACATGACTCAAGTCTCTTCATAGATTCTAATTCAGAAGTATCATCATCACAAGAACGAAACATTATACTATCAACTAAGAAATTCTTATTCCTCAACATACCCTTATGGTATCTTTCAGAGCCGAATTGGCGAATTTAACAATCTTACTTGACAGGG